GACGATACCTGGTGGTTTTAATCCTTATTAAGTGCCACATGTTCACCATGCATACACACAGACACACTCGCGCACCTACCTAATAAGGAGCTACATTGTAGGGCTGCGACTTGCCTCGTTCCCATGTAGAACTGTCACATCCGCAAGCGCAAGGGAACGAACGGCAAGCCATGGGCCTACAGTAGTGCATCCTGCTGTTATCAAATGGGTTTACAAATTGTTCTTACACCCTTGTCCGTTGCATTCACACACTTTGCAATTCAAACTTTTATAGCCTGTCGTGGGGAATTATGTCCACGTTGGGTCATCCTGAACTCGTTCCTGCACTGAGCGAAATGCCGAAGAGGCAACTGCAACGATATACACACACGTACAAATGGTTTTCCGGGAGACATCAGTGGTTGGTTCCATGCTGTCTGCCAATGTATGCCGCTGTCGCAGCTGCCGCCGCCGTAGTCGCTGTTCCTAGCCATTCGCATGGACACTGACACTCAGCCATGCCTGGCATCGCATATCACAACTTCACGACACCGAAGCTCCGTCGATCGGACGGTAGGATGGACGCAGTTGAAACTCCGCGTTAATAGATATCATCGTGAATATTTATAACTTCACAGCTAAATTACACATTCATCTGCACTCGGTCAGAGCGGCTCACTAAGAGCTTCGGAGGCTAATCCTTAAGCAGGTCTGACAACGAGCAGAGGGACGCGCGTATTTGAGGCCACAGTAGGAGCAAATTGCCTCAAGTCACTTGACACATGAACAAATATTTTCTGTATAAATGTGTTTGGTTTAAATAAAAAGATCCGGACACAAAGGCAACAAAAGCTGCTGGTCTCTAGCTCAGTTTGGGGCTGACAAACAAGAATTATGATCGGCTTAGCCACATGCTGAGCCGCTTATTCGTGTTGCATTCAGCAAACATCCCAAAGGCATTCAGGCCCAGACAGACAATCACAGTCCGACATACAAACACTGGCAGACAACTAGCCCCTGATATGGAGTGAGCTGCACAGGCGACTCCACGAAGTTGGTTCTGCTGTGGCATCGCTTCCATGTCGTTCAATGTCCCAGTCGATGGCTGTTACCATTGCTGCCGAATGTGCCGGGCAGCAGAGTGTCAATTTCCCATCACCCGTTGAATCATTTTGTTCGCTTAATCGCTGGCCGTGTCTTGCTTAAATTAAATCGCCATGTGATTTCATTTTCGCGCTCCTTTGTACGGAATGCCTCCTAATGTTTTTCAGGGCATAATTCGCGAGCTTCCACACTCGTTAGCAGGGACGTTGGCTACACTTTTACCCAACTGCATATTTACGATGGCAGCAATCGATCGCACCGAAACGAAAAATAGGACGAGTAACTGCCACTTTAACGAAGTTAGATGCCTCTACAATGGCATAAATAAAAGATGGCCATCATTTGATTGCAGAACCATAAATAGACTAGAAGAATCTTCTCAGAAATGGAAAAATGAAATGTAAAACAGAGAATGGTATGTAGGGACATCAGGAGTGAATAGCTGCCATCCTTCCGTTTTGGTCTTATCCATTCTCAGGACAAATTTTTAGGACATTTTCTAAGCACCCCGACCACTTTGTTTCCCCGAATCTCTATGACAACGGCAGCAAAAGTCCTTTGAAACGGGGTGGATTGGAGACCATTTTTACATGATAATTTAAGTTTATTGCTTCACTCGTCAGTTTAATCTACCCACAGCTGCAAAAAAGGACCTCCTCCAAAAATGTTTTCAGGACTCTTACATATATATTGGTAATTTAAAAAGTAAACTAGTCTGAGTAGCTAAAACAGCTTTGTGACCATATTTTAGTTATTTTATTTAAAAAAATCGATGAACATAGCAACTCCTTTCGTCGAATATGCCTTTAGAAGAAAAACAATAATTAAACACATAAAAAATTAACGACCTGAAAGCGCTTCAACGGACACCAAGGGAAACGCTTCGCTATACATTTCTAATTTTGTGAAGAGAGAGATAAAATCAGCCAAAATCTGAGCACCTCTCTGAAGCTCAGTTAAGGTCGACTATCCTACCTGCCTAGCATCAAAATGCAACGTTGATAACAGTTTTCGAGAGCGACTGGTGATTTTGTTCTTCAAATTTGCCGTGTTTTAAGCATTGAATCCATTTTATATTTAACAAATCAGCGGAGACAAAACTGATGGTTTCTTTCGAATTAATTACGTTTAGAGTCGCTTTATTAGGAAGCGGAACCCGCGGACCCACTTACTCATTGGAGAGCATGACAAATGTCATCGCTATCAACTGTATATTTAAGCTTCCTTATGACATATAATATTAATTCACTGGATTTACAAAATTCACTAGGTGTAAAAAATTCGGAGAACTGTAAGCGAACTATTACTTCCCCTAATTTAAATACATATAAAATAAAATATTGGATAACGTTTCCATACATTGTCTGTCTATAATACTAACGAATTCTATCGATTTTTATGACTCCGTCTGTGATGTTTGACATTGTTCTTCATTCATTGTTTCAAAGCCGTTTCAACACTTATCCCTTAATTAATTAGTTTTTATCCAGATATGTTGAGTCCTTTGCCAGATAAATCTTGTAAAATGTATGTATCGGAGAGGACATGCATTTAAACCATGGTAGGCAATGAGAAAAATAACAAGTAAGCAAAAGCTATAGTAGTGCGGGGCCGACTATATGATACCCTACAACACTACAATATGTTAAAAGCCCCCTTATGCCTACGGTTAAATTTAATCTAATGGTCAACCAAAATACTAGACTTCTTCGATGTCCTTAACATTATTCTCAGACATGTCGATTCGCTTCAATTGTGTAATCAGGAATTTTTTTCTGTTTTTGGTTCATTTGAACACCTAACTATTTTGCGATCATCTCCAAAAGCAAGAGGCCACTCTGTATCTCCAAATTTAGACTCATCTACATGATTTGCTTGTCTACGATATTTGTATGGTATTTTTTCACACAAAAGTAGTGGTCCATTCTACCCGCTATTCTAAACTCTAACTTCATGCGAGATTTCGTGTCCTTTGGATTCTATTTGTGACCTTTATAACGGCTGCAAAATCAGGAACATTTTTAGTTGTTGGTCCATTTCAACCCCTAAATACATTGCGGACATCTTTGAAAACAATAGGCCTAACCCTTCTGAGCCTAACCCTACTTTTTTCGTGAGGATAATTGCAATCTATATCTATCTATATATAATAACCCCAACTTGTGTTGTAAAATGAAAAAATATTATAAAATGTATTCTTCAATATTATAAGTCAAAATGAAAAAATCGCATGCGATAAAGAATATGAAAAAATAAAAAAAATGTCACAAGATACTACAAAATCCATATTAACATCATTATTGACATCTTTTTATGCGATTTTTTTAGATTTTATTCTTTTACACCAAGAGGACATTCTGAATTGACTAAATTTGTCAAAATCGGTGAAGCCATTCTTGAGGCATAAGCATTTTAGCTAACATTCCCTTCCTTTGTATATATGTATTGTATATATTCCGCTATATATATATATCCGATATATTTACTATCGGTATCTACGTAACGGTCAGAATTGACCTGTTCGTCTTTTTATGATTTTGCCGGGATTAAAAATATTCGCGGTTTAATGGAAATTCTACTTTTATTTAACATAAATGTTATGGCCTATTTCACCCACTAAATATTACCCGATGACCACCAAAATTGGAAGGCTTCTGCCCAGCCCTAAGCTCTAGAACCATATCAACTTCCGCTTCGATTGGTCTATAAATGCGACCTGTAGAGCAGCTGCAAAATCAGGAAATTTTTCAGTTTTTGGTCCATTTCAACCCCTAGATATTATGCGATCATCTCCAAAACAAATAGAGTTCTATTCTGTCACTATCCCCACCTCCATTCTTAATTTCGTGAAGATCGGGCCATAATTGCGACCTGTAGAGTGATTACAAATTAACATGGACAGACGGACAGACGGACGGACGTACATACATAGCTAGATCGACTCAGCTCGGCGAGCTAGGAAGATCCATATATACTTTCCTATGTAGGAAACCAATATTTCGAGGTGTTACATAATTTTTGGGCCAATCAAACTTATAATACCCCCAACACATAGTGTTGTAGGGTATAAAAACAAATTGCATCATTGTATCGTGAGTACGCCAGCAGGCCTAAATGTAACTTTTGCCGATTAAAAAGTCGTTAAAATTTATTTTCCAATTGTAACAAAAACAAACAAAAGAAATTTTTGAAATATAAAAAATGAGTCAGCTTGTTTAAAAGTTACAGCAGGGCAGCAGGTATCATAATATTAGACGTTTTACTCAAAAAACTCAGCAAATATTTGGGAGCCACATGAGTCGGATAACTCGTTAAAAAGCAATGTAACAATTGGGAAAATGTTAATAGTTTGTGTGGAGGTACCAGCAGAAGCGGACCCACATTTCCCTTCTTCACACTAGAAATATTGTGGATAGAAATATTACAACCTGCGAAGTTTTAAGGAAATCAGGAAATTATTTCGCATTTAGAAGAGTTATGAAAATCCAAAATTAGATACTTTTGTAGGCTAGGCCCGAAACGAGTTAACCTTCTTTCCTTCACAGCAAATGATCTCTACCCTCTGTAGAGATAAGACTCTTGTAACAGTTATAATGCAGCACATTAAGGAAAACAAAAACACAGTCGCATCAAGGTATGTGGAACAACCACAGCTTTTTATATATTCTTCTTTAAATCTGCCAAATTTTTAAAAATTCTGATTTAGTGTATTCAAGTCGCAGAGGACGTAAATGTAAGATTGTAAAATGCAACAGAACTCTTGTTCAAGGCAGACAAGCAATTGCTATCCAGACAATCAAGTTTTTTTTTGAGTTCCTTTACTTTTTTCGTCTGGAAGTGAAAGCTCCTTTTACCTGTTGCCCTTCTGTCGAAAATTGGTTTATGTTTCAAAAATAAAAATTTGCTTATATTTCTAGAAATGATTGCCTCTGTTGGTTTTGGATTTTAAACAAAAAAAGTGTGAATGGGTTTGACGGAAATATCAACCTAATCCGCAAAAGGTTGCGTGATGCCACATACGATTTGGAACTTCCAGGAAATAGGTAAGTGCATTACTACAAGTTGTTTTTTACCCAACATCAAAAGTAACACCTCGAAATATTGGTTCAAGACCCACAATTTTACATAAGGATCTATCTATCTCGCCGAAATGAGTCGAATCATCTATATGTGTCCATTTTAATTTGTAATCACTACATGTCACAGTTATGACCCGAACCTGCCCTAAGTCAGGGTTAGAATAGAAGCCTTTAGTGATTGAGATGGACCAAAGACAGTTTTTTTTAGATTTGGCCGTCTCTCTACAGGACAATCGACGCAGATTTTTGTATGGGGTTAGAGTTTAGACACAGGATAATATATGTGTTTAAGTGTTGTGAATGAACGAATGATATTTTTTGATTGCCTAACTTGAACGAAACCAAAATTTGCCTATAGAAAAAAGCTCGTTTAGTTCACCTACGTACAAAGACCAAAAGTTTTGCTTGTCTGCAAATTGTAGAAAAATAAGTTTGCTGAACAGGCTATGTCATAACATGGGCTACTACAACATAATTTGAACAGACTGACACTAGACGATATTTGTCTACACCTCAATTGTCCTATGGATTACAACAGTCACATGTGGCTAGATAGACAAATACATTTACACTATATACACTTGATAGTTCTCCAATAAGTGTTAAGAGAAGCTACAAGCTACTTCATAGGTAAAAAAAGTATCACATTACACACAGATCTAAAAGACCCCAATACTACTTAAGGTCACTTATTGGTAACATCCTACACATATTCAACTAGAGATTTTACATACAAAACATTTGTGGCACCTTTTGGAAAGTTATGAAGAATGCACAGTGGCCACCAAGAGAGTGGGATTCCCTAACTTATTTCTTGAGTTACCGACAAAAATCGGCAAACTTAAAATGACTATAATTTCCGTAAATAAAGACATTTTTCGACTAGATTGCATCAAAATAAAATAGTCGCTAAGTCTTGCCTATAGCAGCAGTGCTGGCAACTTTAATTTAGAATTTTTATACCCTCCACCGTAGTATGGAGGGTATATTAAGTTTGTCATTCCGTTTGTAACACCTCGAAATATACATTTTAGACCCTACAAAGTATATAAGAATATATATATATCAGCATAAAATTCTATGTCGATTTAGCGATGTCCGTCCGTCTGTCTGTCTGTGGAAATCACTCTAGCTTCCGAACGAATTGAAGTAGATTGATAAAATTTTACTCAAATGTATTTTATGTCTGTAGGACTTTTGGCATTGAAAATGGGCAATTTTTACTATTTTAGCGACATTATTCACCGGAATTGTTTCAAATTTGTTATTTGAAGTTCGTAATGGATACTACAACCTAAGACAGAAAATTGTCTGTGCAGGTCCACGTCTTCGTATAACCCCCCTATAACGATACCTCCGGATATTCGGTATTTTGATGATTTTAGCGACATTATTCACCGGAATTGTTTCAAATTTGTTATTTCAAGTTCGTGATGGATACTACAGCTTAAGACAGAAAATTGTCTGTGCAGGCCCACGTCTCCGTATAGCCCCCACATAACGGTACCTCCCGATATTCGGTATCGGTGTTGAGTAGTTTCAAATTACGTATTTAGAGTTCGTAATGGGAACTACAGTCTGTGACAGAAAATTGTCTATACAAGTCCAGGTCTTCGTATAGGCCCCATATATCACTACCTCCCTATATTCGGTATTTTGCCGATTTTAGGTACAATACTCACCCAAATTGTTTGAAATGACGTATTTGAAGTTCGTAATGGATGCTACAGCCTGTAACAGAAAATTGTCTATGCAGGTCCACGTCTTCGCATAGCCCCCATATAACGGTACCTCCCTATATACGCTATTTTGATGATTTTAGCTACTTTATTCACTGTTTTTTTTTAAGTTTCGAATTTGAATATGGTAATGGCTTATAAAAAACAATGTCTATGTAGGTCCATGTCGTATAGATCCCAATATAACGGCTATATTCAGTATTTTTAAGATTTTAACGGATTTTATTTTTTGAAAGTTTCCAAATTCATTCCAAATGGTGGAGTGTATTCAAAGTTCTTGTTGTTATTAATAATTTTGTGTCTTAATTTTACCGACGAGTTAAAGATCCCACTCCTGCTTTTATGTTCGAGAATTGTTCACATTTAATAATACATTCTAAAATCAGAGTATTTTCATTTATTCAAGAAATTCGATATGCAGAATTGGTAATGGATTGTTTATTAGTTAAATTAAGAAGAAATTTTGACCAATATGGCGATGTGGATATTGCATCTGCAATGTTACGTGTAATTCCCAATATAACGTGCATGACCTTATGTCGCTATTATTTTTATCCCCCATTTCGTGAGTAAACCAATCAGAAGTATGCCTCTCGCTGTAAACCAAATAAATTTGTTGTCTTAAAGATTTATCCGCGTTTAAAATAGGATTCAGATTTGACCTATTAAACCATTTGTTTAAACCCCGTCTCATTGCGATGTGTACCTTCAGGTTCTGGGTGGTGATTGTCATTTAATTGGCTAAAGAGGAACCAGCCGATGAAACTTTAATATATTTGTCATCAATACTCACGACAGATTGAGTGACATCGCCAGAGGTAGTCGCACCAGAGGATGGATATGTTAAGCGTTGAAATCAATATTATAGCTCCGTTGTAATTTAAGAGTGAAAATTCTATGTCTGTAATTTTTTTTTTTTTTTAATTTCGAAAAGCTTTTTCTCAGTTGATAGCTTCAAGGTGTTGAACTTGAATAGCCTTTTGTTTTTGTTTTTGTTTTTTTTTTTTCTTTTTAATTTTTCAATTTATTTGGATTGGGCGGAAATCTTGATATTTGTTGTCACTTGATCAAATTGCTAACATTTCGAGGGAACTATTGCCTCAAAGGTATGCCGTCGGCGACATTATTGACACATTCACCGTCAAACCGATCACTCACAACCAGCGGACACGGTTATTTATTGGATTTGTGTATGTAATGGAATCAATCGCGTAATTCGGCGTTTTCCATCTGTTCCGAGGAGTAGAGTGGGGTGGTGTACACAATTCCCTTGAACACCACAAAGTATTGACTTTTAAAGTAATTCTATTTGGATGAAGAACAGCTTGCACAGCTAGCGATGCCCTCAAACGACACGAATTAAGCGATCAAAGTTGATAGTGCGTCTAAACGCGCGCGATTTCCGACGATACTAAGAAAATATGCAAACTTTGCTGTAAACAACTCTGCATACTGGTGGATCTGAACGTGCCCGTTCGTGTGAGTGCTGAACATACATATGAAGGTATTTGTTGTTGGCGGCTGGCCAATGTGTGTTGTGTAGCTCTTCACGAAAATGGCGTGAGACCAAGCAGGCTATGGATGAACGTCGCTAGCCCCGCAGTGGCCCCCAAGACATAAGCAAATGATGGTGGAGCTGAGTCCAGCTGAGATGAGATTGTGATCTCTGCTGAAGAAACGGTAGTCGTCAAATAAAACGAGGGCCGAGTACGAGAGAAAAGAATCAGAACCAATCGCCTGCGGAGAGGAGACATATCAACGGAGACACATGTAAATTGGAGCATTCGCTAGACAGTCGACGCACATTTAAGACATGGGCATGTCCAGAGTGCAGAGTGGCACTCAGTGCTTGCATGGCGTTGCAATCGAGGCGCACATGCAGTTCGAGCGCACACAAACAATGCCCTGGCGTGCTCACAAAAGTTACCCTTGGCTGGTTGTGTGTTGTGCGTGCTTCAGCAGACAAGAAAGCAGGTTGGCTGCCTGCTCGTGCTCCCCGCTGTTTGAAGTGTGTGCAGTGTGTGGGAGCGAAACAAATATATGTCCGTGCTTGTGATTGGCTGGTTGCCACTCGTTGTGGCCAATTTGGGGGCGTTGTTTGTACAGCGAGACAAATGATACGGCCGTTGCATTTTTCGAGGGTGCTGCCTCCTCGGAAATGGATGGCCATTCAGCCGTTCGGATCGAAACAATAGAGCGCTTAGCGTCAGCATGTTGCCCGGAAAATGAGAGCAAGTGGAGCATTGGGCACGCCCGTTTATGACTCAGCCGAAATACGGCTCTTCGACCCGACACCGCGCATGTGGCACAAACTATATGTCATATTGAACTTCGGCTAATGCTCCACAACAATGGCTGTTGGTCGCAGCAAATGCCAGGACAATTTCCAAAGAGGTAGCGAGTTGTCTTAATGAGTCTGCCACAGGTCACTTACATAAGTTTTTGGCGATATTGATTTTTATTTGAAGCACCATATCAGAGGCAATGCTCGGTGTACAAACATTTCAGCTCCCACACACACACACACACACACGTACACGACATACATACAAATCCATACAGCAAGCATGATTATGTAATGTTAATCCAAGTGGGTTCTCTCGCACATACACACGCATATCTTTACAAAGTGAACATGCTTTGATGTGAATGGGACAGGTGAATTAAGAGACTGTCGGGATACATCGATATAACAAACCGCGAATTCAAGGTGTACGCTTGTGTGTGTGTGTGTGTGTGTGTGTGTTCACCAGCATACATAACATCCACCTTTGTCTATTGTAACCTGGTTGGGGGTACAATCGAACTTGAAAGGCGTTCAACTTGAAAGGCACTCCTTGTCTTTGTTTAGAGCCCAGTCATTGATGCGACACACATCTATACTTTCATACATACATTTGTACTTACGTATATATGTATGTATGTATGTATTGTCATCGTCCCGCATACATATGACGCCGACACCAGCGACATTCTCTTAATGCCCTGCTGCGAGCAAAGAACCATGTATCTTATATTACCACTTTATTTCTACAGACAATTGTACTAGTTCAAATTTCAACAATTTACGAGTAGAGTTTGGTTTGGGACACTGATTGTAGTGTATTTCTACTGACAATGTCGACAGTTGGCTTTTCTTTTATTGTCATTAAAACATATTGAATATATACACATTTTTATGTAATTTTTTTGTAGATCGCATCGAAACAACGCGTTTTTATCGGCAATTAATTTGTTTTGTGTGTTTTATTGTTAAAAAGGTGATTATTTATTAAATATATAAACAAAATGAGTAAAAGAAATTATAAAAGATTAATTAAAAAACAAAAAATATTGTATAAAAACAGAAGTTTGCAATGTGAACAAGAAAATAGTGAAAGTGAATTTGTGTCAAACGGTGGAGATTTTATAAATGATTTCGTGGAAAATGGAATGGAAGATTTTGCAGTTCCGAAATTAATGTTGCGGGACAAACTTAAAAAGTGGTGCATGGAAACGAATCCTTCAAAGAAATGTTTGGAAAGTCTTTTATCAATATTAAAGGAAGAAGGTCTAGATGTTCCGCTCACTAGAGAGACTTTGGTGGGCAGAGCAAAAAATATGTTAACGAGAAATGTTGCCCCTGGAATTTATTGTCATATTGGCATAGAAACACAACTACGAAAAGTTGGTCACATTTTGGAAAAGTATGAGGAAGTCGAACTAGATATAAATATCGATGGAATTCCACTGTTCAAAAGCTCTCGTGTGCAATTGTGGCCAATCCTTTGCAGAATCGTTAATATTCAGGAGAAAACAAAACCGTTTGTTGTTGGATTATACTTGGGAAACACCAAGCCGGGTAGTGTGAATGTGTATTTGAAAGACTTCATTGATGAAGTGATTCTACTAAAAGGTCAGTTTATCATACAACAAAAACATTTAAAATTGAAGTTTCGTTGCTTAATATGTGACGCACCAGCAAAAGCTTTCGTTTGTGGAGTTCCTGGACATACATCAACACATGGCTGCACCAAGTGTACTCAAATTGCGAAGAAGGTAAACAATGTCTTGACTTATAGTAGCGAGAGTGGTTCCCTAATCTCCGATGAGGACTTTGCTGTGCGAAAGTATCCATGCCACCATTCCCAAATGTTCAAAGAAGAAAAAACTCCTCTCGAAGAAATTGGATTTGGTATGATAAATCAGACTCCTTTAGATAGCATGCATCTCATTGACCTCGGAGTCACCAAAAAAATGCTAACCAGAATAATGCATAATAAAACTGAAAAGAAAACCTCAAAACAAAATATTTCAAAAATATCTTCTGAATTGGTGAAATTTAAAAAATACATTCCAAGGGAATTCCCAAGAAAACCCAGGCCTTTAGATGATCTTTGTCATTGGAAAGCGACTGAATTTCACCAGTTCCTTGCTTATACAGGAATTATTGCTCTTTATAATAATGTACACGAAGATATTTATTATGAATTTTTAACTTTACATTGTGCTTATCGACTTCTTAACAATGCACGACATATGGATCAAAATATTGTTCAAGCTAATAATTTGCTTCAATTATTTGTCGAGAACTTCTCAACTGTATTTGGTTCGAACAGCATTTCTTTTAACGTTCATAATCTGCTTCATTTGGCTTCTTGCGCAGAAAAGTATGGTCCCCTTATTTCGTTTTCTGCATATGCATTTGAAAATAAACTGCAAACACTGAAAAAACATGTTCGAAAACCATCACATATCTTTCAACAAATTATTCAAAAGGAAAAAAATTGCATGATTGTCAACACTATTCAGGATGGGTTAAAATATGAAAAAGGTGTTATCGTTGGAGCTTTTGTAAATGATTGCTACATATCCTGCAAAGAACCAGATAATATTTGCGCGGTGAATTCATGCATTCCAATAAAAATTGATAATATAAAGAAAAAGGGCGAAATATATATTGAAGGCAGTCGAATTTTGGCATTAGAAAGTTTCTACGAAGAACCGGTGAATTCTTGTGAGATTGGTATTTTCAAAACGAATCTGACTCTAGGGGAAAAAGAGACATTTTGTATTAAAGACATTCAGTTCAAATTTGTATGCTTGCCAATTGATTCTGATTTTGTAATCGTGCCCATTTTACATTCCTGCTTTCCAGAGAAATATCAAGCACAAATTTTTACCTCCTAAGTACACAACTCCCGCACATAAACATGTCGAACGAAAATGCCAACCCTTCCAAAGGAAAAATGAAATATTTTGCTCCACAAGGTAATCTCCAAAGATTATCACTAAATTTTTAACAGTATAACAAAATTGAGTTCATATTTTTGATAGCTAATGCAAAATGTTCTTCCTGCCAAGAAAATGCCAGAAAACTAGACACGATTATTGATATTTTGGCGGAGCATAAAGTTTTACTGGATCGTGTTATTTCTCAGAACGCATTTGTGGACAATATTATGACAATTTTTCCAATTGAATCGGAAGAAAAACTTCGAGAATTTGATCGAATTCTCGCAACACAAGCAGATCTATATGTACGTATCTGCGTTTTGGGAATAACAAATTCATAACTAAAACAATTTTTACAATTGCAGACTCGACAAATGAAAAATCTCATTGCAGGTAACGCTGAACGTAATTTGCATAAAGTATTTGGAAGAAATATTATTATGGATTTTAATGTTGACGGAACTTTCGGGAAAAAAGGTCTACGAGATTTTGGTAATGTACTTGCCGCCATAATAGGTAAAACGTGTTTGTTTTTGTTTCAAATAAGTAATGCTAAAATATAGTTTATAAAACAGAAGTTATATCAACATTTAATAAATTACCTGACAAGACTTTACGAGCAGCGTTCCAACGCCAAAAGAAAAAGTATTTTAAGATCAACAAACGAAGCAGGCGCACCGAAGAAAAGGAACAAGATGAAAATGATGAAGAACCACAAATTTAACTGAATGTTTTTATGTTATACTATATAATTTTAAAATCCTAGTTCTAACACTATTCAGTTTTATTAAAAATAAGACAAGGTTTGGCCAGCCTTGAAAAAAGTGAGCTATATATGTAATCCATTTCTTAATTTATTACCTTGCCTAAAATTCGCAGACTGTTTTAGATTAATTAAATATATTGTGTGTAGATTGAACTGTGCTTTACTTTTGTTTTTGTTACTTAATAACTGCGTTAAAAATGTAACGTTGTTAAATACTTATTCTATTACAAGCATTTTCCTAAAAATCTCAAATGACTATTTGGTTCGAATGCCTCCATATGATCTCGAAAGGACTAATGGTCTTCTAGTGTTTATTTGGTTCAAATGTCTACATATAGCTCAGGATACCCAATAAAATGCAGTGATTATTTGGTTCAAACGTCACCATATAAACTTAAAAGATCTAATCTTTTTCTAGTGATTATTTGGTTCAAATGTCTACATATAGCTCAGGAAACCCAATATAATGTAGTGATTATTTGGTATACACGTCATCACATAATCTCAAAAGATATAATCTTTTTCTAGTGACTATTTGGTTCAAATGTCACCATATAGTCCCAAA